TATATGGGGGTGTAGGAATTTGGGGACGTAGCGATTTGGGGACGTATCAATTTGGGGATGTGGGAATTTGGGGACGTAGTAATTTGGGGGCGTAGTAATTTGGGGACGTATCTATATGGGGGTGTAGGAATTTGGGGACGTAGCGATTTGGGGACGTGGGAATTTGGGGATGTGGGAATTTGGGGACGTAGTAATTTGGGGGCGTATCAATTTGGGGATGTGGGAATTTGGGGGCGTAGTAATTTGGAGACGCACCAATTTGGGGACGTAGGAATTTGGGGACGTAGCGATTTGGAGACGCACCAATTTGGGGATGTGGGAATTTGGAGACGCACCAATTTGGGGACGTATCAATTTGGGGACGTAGCGATTTGGAGACACACCAATTTGGGGATGTGAGAATTTAGCAGTATGCCAATTTGGAAAAGTAAGAATTCGGAAATGTAAGAATTTGGGAATGTAAAAAATTCAGGAATATAGGAATTCGAAAATGCAGAAATTCAAAAGTGTAAAAATTCAAGGATATAAAAATTTCATGGGGATTCGCATATATTCGTTTAATTCGCACGATAAAATTTCTGATAAAAAATTATCTCCGTGAATATTTGACGTTATAATTAGAATTCGTCAATTAAGAGTTCGCAAGGTCATTTAACCTGTTCATTTAAGTAATGGACGGGTGAAGCCGTTGTAAATATGAAAGTATGCGATCTTTATCCGCTTTTTATGGAGCACTTAATTTTTGCTTCGCCAGAGGGAAAGAAAGAGTGGACAGTTTCTTTGAAACGGTAGAAAAACGAAGGACGTCTGTTCCTCCCCCGTATTAATCCCTAACGGCGGACAACTTTCTGTATTATCGTCGATTAAAATCAAAAGTTATTATCTGATCCCCGAAACGTTTCCTCGGAATTTGCATAATCACAACGGGAGATACAAGAATTTCACCCCGCCGGATGACAACGAACATCTCGCATTTTTTGCATGGTTAACCATGCACAAAAAAAATGACGGAGAAAAGAAGTATTACGCTTTGCAGTTAAAGCTTCATCGTGGGCTATAAATGCATATTTACGAACGTATAAAAAAGACCGCATTCTGGGCTTCGTATATGGAAATATGAAGTTGCCGGCCTACGTACATGAAATACATATTTTCCCGCTTATACTGCCGCTTTTACGAAACTTGCATAAAAGAATATGAACAATGTCTCGAAGAGTAGTTGCGTCGTATATGTACTGTATGGTACATTGTGCGATGAAGGAGTTTTTAAGTAATTTTAGCGTAGGTTTGTGGATTTTATTTGTTCGTGGATTGTGCGAGATTTTTGACAAATTAGGTATTCGATAAATTAGGAAGCTTTCAAACTTGGAAATTTATAGGTTTGAGATGTAGATGAACATGGGAACTTACATGCTTTCAAATTTAGAGATGGAAAATTTGAAAATGGAAAACTTGAGAATTTGAAAATTTAGAAGATTTAGAAATTTGGGAAATTTGACTATTTTTAAATGTGAAAGCATGAGAATTAGGGAATGTGAGTTTGCATACTTGTGTCTACATAGAAATTTGATTAGCGTTTGTTAAGTATATGTGTCTTTAATTTACTAAAATATTCTCATATTTAATTACATTGTAACGAAGGAGTAAAATAATTAGAAATTTAATTAAAACCCCGTTTCATAATGATTTATTCAATGTATCCATGTAACACGATGTAGTGCATCTAACTGAAAATTGTAAAATTAATAAACGATTTAATATGCGTTACCGTTCTTCTACCAACTCTTCTGCACATTTAATTAAAGTGATCTCAGAATATGGAAGCATCGTTTCTGCCTCAGTATTGCTTTCAAGATAGTATCACTGAAATACATACTCTTAATTAACTCTCATATGCAGCATGTTCTTTATACGCTCCTATATTTCCTCTTTTACGCGTGTTTTCTTACAGAATTTATTACAAACGTAAACCTGCTGATTTTATTACAACCGCCTTTGGGAATTATATTACCTGAAGAATTTTAAATTCTTACGTTTCATTGAAGTTTTAAGTTCTCAAGTTTTCAAGTTTTCAATTTTTCAGTTTTGAAATTTTTCAAGTTTTCAAGTTTTCAATTTTCAGATTCTCAAGTTTCAATTTCCAAATTTTCCAATTCTCAAGTTCTCAAATTCCCAAATTTCCAAATCCCCAAATTCCCAAATCCTCAAATCCCCAAATCCTCAAATCCCTAAATTTCCAAATTTCCAAATCTGCAACCCTAAATCCCTAAGTTAGGAATTTCTAAATTTCAAAAACCCCAAAACCCCAAATCTCCAAAATCCCCAAATCCCCAAATCCCTAAAACTCCAAAATTCAACACAAAAATCTCCAACTCTGCAATTCGATAATTTGTAAAATTGAATCAATCACAAGTTCAACCGATTTCATTAATGACGTCAAAAGCGTTAGAACGGCAGTTCGAAGTACGAAGTTATGCATGCTGTATATCTTGAATCTATAACGAATGATCGACGATGTAAAGTTGTCTCGTAACGTGCTCGCACGTATCATCTCCGAGGATAATACATTCCCGAAGTTGCATGCACGTGAATCAAATAATGCCATTGGATCGTATGCAAGCAAAGATCTCCATACATAAACGCGTGTCGTCTATCAGCTATTGGTTTCGACGTGAAACGACCACGATATTCCTTTCGTGAATACGATTCAATTGCAGAATGTGAATGGGTCGCTGTATCTCACCTGTGAGTCATATAGAAAATCAAACGTTACGGTCAGCTCTGCTTTCCGGTTTTATCGAACGTCCTATACGTCGGTTGTTGAGTTACGGTAAATGCTGCCATCGATGTGCTTTACAAAGATGAGCTTCAAATTTGCGATGGGGACATTTTGTAGCGTTCGAGAGGGAAGAGGAAATTTTTCGGGAAAGTGTTTTGGTATTCAATTTGGGGATTTTTGTGGTTTAGGTGGGGGAATGTAGAGATTTGGGGATTTGGGGATTTGGGGATTTGGGGATTTGGGAATTTAAAAAATTCCCAACTTACAGATTTAGGGTTGGGGATTTGGAGATTTGGGAATCTAAAAAATTCCCAACTTAGGAATTTAAGGTTATCAATTTGCAAATTAGAGAACTTGAAAATTTCTAAGTCCACAAATTATTAATTCAAATTATTAAATTTGCAAATTACCAAATTCCTAAATGTACAAATTAAAAAAGTCCACATTTCTAAAATTTCCAAACTACTAACTTTAGATCTACAAATTTTGAAATTTTTATCTTTGTAAATCCTTACCTCCAACTCCGGCATCCGGTGGTCGACCAACAGTAAAAATGGCAGATGATCCCGGGATAATTCTTTATCGTCATAACTGTTGTACGCCATCGGATGACATTTAACGATCGAAACGAATAACAAAGATATCATGACGTTGATAAGTGTCATTTTCAGAATTCGGCTAATGTGTCTGAAACAGAAACAAATAATACATTACTAACATAATACAAAATGCACTTAAAAATAAGTATTCATCAAAGATTTAACTTCGAATCTATTTTATAGTATATATGTTCGAGAATATTCTAGTTTTACATATATACAAGCGACAAATGCGAACGAGTGTTTGAGTTCCATTTTTTTATACAACTTTCCCTTTCACTCAGTACCGGACTCGATTTTTCCTGACATTTCGATCGCTTGATCACATACCGATCGTATCGTGCGGCTTAAAAAACGCAAGTATTTATCTGATTAAATCTAACACACTCGCGAATTCATTTATTCAAATTTGAACACGTGATATTTAGAATTTTCTTGATTGTTAAATCGTTTTGTAATATTGCAGACTCATAATCTGCTTTGAAATAAAATTGTTTTGTGATCAATGAAAATTACGTGCTTGTTTATTGAAAGAAATTTACAATTTTTTGGAGGAGTGCATTTTTGTAATTATTTTTGTAAAATTTTTTTGTAACTGGTTGTAATTTTCTTGTAGTTATAATATTGTAGTTTCAGTATGGGTTAAAACTGACTCTCTCTATAACTTTCAAGGTTCACTTTCATAAAATGGAAACTAATCTTTAATCTCTACATTAAATTTTAACAATATTCGTTATTTTTCAAGAACTAAATATAATCCATACTAAATAACAGATTATATCGGTTTATGACAATGAAAAGTATCAAATTTTAATCCTAACCTGACCTAACCTAACTTTATACTTCTTTAGATCCTTACCAAAGTCATTTCAATTTTGCCAAAAATAAATAATAAAACTAATCTGTATTAAAAGATAATATTGAAGCTTAAAGAATCCTAACCTAACTTAACCTAACCGTAGACATCTTTAGATCCTTTCCAAAGTCATTTCAATTTAGCCAAAAATAACTAACAAGACTAATCTCTAACAACATCTAATATCAAAGCTTAAATAACAAAAGTAATCAAAGACAGACCCTAATTGATAATTCTATAATACACACGACACTCTGCATCCCCTCTACCTTCTATTAATTAAAGTTTTCAAACGTCAACTAATTACAAAGTAACAGCTATCAAAAAAGCTACAAGGAATAAAAAAGAGAAGAAAATGGATTCAACAGGGCCAACAAATTTGTGCGAGCGACGAACCGGTGTAATTGGAAAGCGGGCCGAGCAACTCTAAATTACCAGGCGCAAATTAAGCTCCCAGTGTTAATGAACCCGTCGATGATGACGTTACTGACGACGTCGTTAACATCTGTATTGGCACTCCAACTCAAAGTTGTTCACTGTCGAACTTGACCTTCGCAGTCGTTACGATGTTATGTAAACTACGATACTATTTATGTACGGTAATTAAAAGTTGAATTAAAAGCTCGTTTGAACAATCGAATGCTGTTTATAGAAGTATTGTTATCATTTTCTAGTGTAGGAATTTGGGAATATAGCGATTTGGGAATGTAGGTATTTGAGGATACAGCGATTAGGGGGTGTAGAAATTTGGGGACGTACCAATTTGGGGAAGTAGCAATTTGGGGACGTAGTAATTTTGGGGCGTAGTAATTTGGGGACGTATCAATTTGGGGGTGTAGGAATTTGGGGACGTAGCGATTTGGAGACGCACCAATTTGGGGATGTGGGAATTTGGGGACGTAGTAATTTGGGGGCGTAGTAATTTGGGGGCGTAGTAATTTGGGGACGTATTAATTTGGGGATGTGGGAATTTGGGGACGTAGCGATTTGGAGACGCACCAATTTGGGGATGTGGGAATTTGCGAACGTAGTAATTTGGGAGCGTAGTAATTCGGAGACGCACCAATTTGGGGATGTGGGAATTTGGGGACGTAGTAATTTGGGGGCGTAGTAATTTGGGGACGTATCAATTTGAGGGTGTAGGAATTTGGGAACGTAGCAATTTGGAGACGCACCAATTTGGGGATGTGGGAATTTGGGGGCGTAGCAATTTAGGGAGATATCAATTTGGGGGTGTAGGAATTTGGGAATGTGAGGAATTCAGGAATATAGGAATTCGAAAATGCAGAAATTCAAAAATGTAAAAATTCAAGGATACAAAAATTCAAAAATGTAAAAATTCGCAAACGCAAAAATATGAAACCTCAGAAATTTAGAACTAGTATAACAATTTCCATATCTACTCCTCCAAGTGCTAATAACCGTCCCGCGCGCCAGCTCATGGGTCGCCATCGGTACACACTTTTAAAATCATGACCGAACATCTCGACTCCGTCGTTCTCCATTTAAAGAGAACCTTAAACTGCGAACCTTAATTATGGGTCGGTGACGACAATCACAGTAAAAGAAAGGGTGGGGAACGGGAAAATATTCAACAAGTTAACAAGCGTGAAATTATTTGCAAATGGATAGGCGAGGAGGAGAAATCCACGCGACAAACGACGCTGTTTTATTAATCGATAATAAGGTTTTATAAAAGGAATTTCGAATGGAGTTTCTTTGTAATGTCTGTAACATTGTTAACTATACCTGTAACGAAAGTCTTTGATCTTGAAAGAACTTTTACGGTGAAAAATAGAAGAATTATACATTTGTAAGAACCAAAGAAGAAAAATATAAATACAAGGGTTGACATCGATGAACAAAACTACAACATGGTATTTTCAACTGGAAACACCGGAGCTTTACTAAATCCTCACTTTCAATTTTCGAAATATCAAGATAGATCTTCGTTGAACGAGTTTATTCGAAAAGTTCATCCCCCTTCTGTTCTGCGGAAATAAAATGGCAACATCGTGTGTACCTTATTTACTCGTGCAGGAAGATGCGCATTTCAGAGAATTGTCTTGTTCAAATATTGATGTTTTTTTAATAGCGTTCCGAATGTGGAATGTTTGAAGTATGTTTGAAATACGTTAGCGTCGAAAAAACCGCATTTTTGGTCGTTTTATTTAGAAATATGGTGTTTGAACGTTTATAGATATGGGTTAGGTTATTACTTGTCAAAAATAAAAATGGAAGAGTAAAACGTGGATGTCGGAGAAAGAAATGATTTTTTGATAAAAATAAAATAAAAGAATATTAAGGAAGTCTTGAGTAAAACAAAATAATAAAATATCTTGGACAAAATAAAATAGTAAGACAATTTTAAGCAAAATAAAATAATAAAATATCTTAGACAAAATGAAATAGTAAAACAATCTTAAGCAAAATAAAACAATCTTGAACAAAATAAAATAGTAATAATAATAAATCTTAAATAATTGTCCATATTTCTCTCCCTATATTTTTTTAAAAACATCACAGAAAATTATTTTCTAATCTCAGTAAATGTGAAAGCATCTTCCCGCGACGAAAAAAGAATCAATAGCTGGAACGAAATGGCGGGTTTCCTTTTTGAGTCGTTAAGTTGAATCTCGTCGAGTTCCATTAGCCGGAATCGTAATTGAACAAACGATCGGTATATCGCCGTATTTCCACGTACACATACACGCACCGGTTCGCACACGTACGCGAATCGGTACTTCCAACGAATCTCGAAATCCTGTAAATGCAAATTCGTGTTAGATAACGCCAATACCGTTCTACGTTTCGCCGACGCTTTTTCAGCAAGATAATGTCTCGCCACTTATAAATACGGATCCTGTGTGTCACTCTGTCACTATTGATCGCTGTTAATTCTCGGGGATCAGTGATTTTTTTTATAAAAAATTCTGTCGAACTTATCGCGGGCAGACAGCTTTTCAAACATGGGGAAAGATTACACTTTTAATCATTTAAATTCTGTATTGTGTTAATGTAATTTGTACATTTTTTTTAAGGCAAAAATAGAAAGGATAAATACTTTATATTTTTTCAATTTTTCTAAACACATTTATTTGTTCATTGAATGAACAATTTTGTAAAAGCAATAAAAGTGTTCAGCTTAAAGTATCATTTATTATATTGAAAATAAAAAAGACTATTTTTAACTCCAAACACAAATACTACATATTTTTTCAATTTTTCTAAACACATCTCTTTGTTCATTAAATGATCAGTTTTACAAAAGCAATAAAAGTGTTCAACTTGAAGTATCATTTATCTTATTGAAAATAAAAAAGACAATTTTTAGCTTTAACACATAAAACCTTTATATTTTTTCAATTTTTCTTAAACATGTCTCTTTGTTCATTAAATGATCAGTTTTACAAAAGCAATAAAAGTGTCCAACTTGAAGTATCATTTATTGTATTGAAAATAAAAAAGACAATTTTTAACTCCAAACACAAATAGTTTGTATTTTTTCAATTTTTCTAAACACATTTATTTGTTCATTGAATGATCAGTTTTGTAAAAGCAATAAAAGTGTTCAACTTGAAGTATCATTTATTAAATCAAAAATAAAAAAGACAATTTTTAACTGCACCCACAAATACTTTATATTTTTTCAATTTTTCTAAACACATCTATTTGTTCATTAAATGCTCCGTTTCACAGAAGCAAATAAAAAGAATCATAATCCTATAATAACCGGTATTAAATGTTAGGTCAGTAATCTAATAGCATAGAATGGTAATGATTGCACGATGTTAGGATTAGCATTGTAACATTAGGAACCGTCGATGCAGCAAAAGCCACAATTACTATGGTGATTACTATTCAGCTTCCAGAATTTAACTAAGGCTACCGGAAATTCATCACAAATGGAAAGGGCGTACGAATTAATCCGATGTATCGATTAACCGATAACGAGCCGAAGTCTAAACAAGTATATAACTGTTCGTTACCGCGTTCAACTTGAAATTTATTTATGACTCTCGCCGATAAATTCTTCGCGAACTAATTTCACGGTAATCCATGTTTTTTAATTTCCTTCGAGCGCACTTTACGCGATCTTGATGAGCATTTTTTATTGCCAATGCGAAGTAACACCTTTTGATTATGAAAGTTTTCGATATCGTCTCTTTTTGCGATTATTTCATCGAAATTTGCAAATTTCTTATTTAGGAAGGTAGAAATTTAGGAATTTG